AAGAACATGCCACAGACTTTGAGTAGGTTATGGGGAGACTAAAACAAGGGGAAAATGTGTTAAAACGACAAAAAAAGATCTTTAAGTTTAGGGAAAAATCGTCATTTTGAAGGCTTTAACGAAAGTATTATGCAAACAATTGAGACATGCATCATTATTGAAAACAATGAATTTTGATCTCCTCATTGAAACAAAACCAAGGACTTATCACTTGTCCAAATCCGGTCACATAGAAATGAATGTGTTATGCCTAAAAACTCAGGGCTGATGTAAGCCTACATTAGCTAGCTCCAATCAGAGTTCAGGAAAGTTTTACGCCGTCCAAGGGTTGCCACGTCACCCTAAGATAAAGAGAATACGACTATCACTAACTTGACAGATTCAGGTTTTGTCCATAAGTGAATGAGAGTCGATCACTTGTCTAAGCCTCAGGTAACTTGAGGATATATCATAAGTTATCAGCAAATGAAAGGCAATGAAAGACGCACGACACCTACCCACTTGCAGATTTGAAATCATTACCTTGAATTCCTCTACTATAAATAGAGGACTCCTTCTCTCATTTTCGAGATTCTGATACAAAAAATTCACTCTTTGATTGTAATCTATATCTTCAGAGCAAAGATAACCTGCGAGAATGAGACTGACTTGATATTCTATCTGAATAATCAGTCGTTGTACCTCTGCTCGTTGTTTTGCTATTCGCGATCTCTTGTAATCAAATAACAGTGGATGTAAGACTTGCGTTAAACATCCGAACCACTTTAAAATTGTCTTTTATTTATTATTCAATTTTTGCATTAGATTATCATATTTATTCACGTGTAATTTCTAAAAGCTACTTAGCACTTTGCACGTACAAGTTGTTAGTGTCGAAATCAAACATCAACCGAATGTAACATCCCACCCTATTGTCAAGATACTATGAATTTGTAGTAGCTTGATTGGTACTTTTGTTTCTTTTCCAATGATGAAGTAATGAGTTTGAATCAAACGGGCATGCTTTGAGCCTTACTATTTGATACATGAGTAAGGGATAAATCTACAATATTTTGATAATGAAAAGAGAAAAACATCAATTTTAAAGGTTTATCTAGTTGAATAAACTCTCTGAGACTCATAGAAACGAAAGCCAAAGACATATTACTCTCTCAAATCTAACCTGAATTTCTAGCACTAAATTCATTTCTTAATGGAATCGCTTTATTTAAAAAAAACAAAAAAAGAACATCAAAAGTATCATTTTCAATCTATTTCAAATAGGATAATATCACCAACAATTTATATCATATCTTGTATATTAGTAATACTAAATAACTCTTCGTATATATGATGTGTTGTCATATCACTTTATATATATAGCATACTTATCTTGTATAAATGCAACTAAATTACAAAATATAATATTACCAGATCGAAAAAGTATTTTGATTTTTTTTTTTTAAATATATATTGTGAATTCAAATATATGGAGGTAGAAAAGACCTCCACCAATTCATAAAAAAACAAACTAAAAATACTATTAATGAGAATGAGGCTACGTCCATATTTGAAATTGTCTGCACAATGGACACTATAATATATATCATTTTCAACTATTTTTGTTTCTTATCAACCCATTGACTTTCTTTTTAATTGTGATATGCTCATGTCACTGTGAAGAGAAATGGACAATATGGTTAACTATAATTGGAGTTATTTATTTCCATTATCTTTGCTTAATACGTGAAGTTTCCTCATCTTTCATCACTCAATTTTCATCCCCTATTATAAATCCACCCATATCTTCAAACCAACCCTTCAAATTTAATCACGCATTAACCATCATTGGGTGGTTAACTAAAACTTTTGGGTGTATTACTCAAAAGAGCTTAAGTTGGATTCATCTTAGCCCCTAATAGGAATGATCATTTAAGCTCTTACTCGATCGATAGTTCTAAGGTCCTCGGGGATTGCTGCTAATAGGTATGGCTATTAGAACTTTTACTTGGTTGATAGTTCTAGGGTCCCGAAATATTAGTTAAGATGCACACAAGCTGGCCTGAACACCCCAAGTCAAAAGAGCTTAAGTTGGATTCATCTTAGCCCCTAATAGGAATGATCACTTAAGCTCTTACTCGACCGATAGTTCTAAGGTCCTCGGGGATTGTTGTTAATAGGTATGACTATTAGAACTCTTACTTGGTTGATAGTTCTAGGGTCCCGAAATATTAGTTAAAATGCACACAAGCTGGCCTTAACACCCCAAGTCATTAAAAAAAAAAAAAAGTTAATTACACATTAAAGCTTTATATTTTTCTAATTAATGGTTAAGGTTTTAATAATTAATATTAATTATTGGGGGTGTCATTTGATGTTTTTCTAAAAGCTTGGGTTGATCAAATTAAAAAATCTCTGCAAATGATAGCCAAATAAACCCACGTATAAAATAATTTATAAATATATATATTTTTTATCTATCCAATATACTTGATGATTTATAATATTAATTCACATGACTCTATTGTAAATTTGTTAAATCCATTTTTATTAAGGACGAATTATCTTATGCAATTATTGTATATGTAGCAAGGCATAATCTTTTTTATTTTTTTGGCAATGGAAATTCAATCATTTGACCTCTATATATATATATATAATATATATATATATATAATATTTTTAGACCACGTTTTATCATTTAATCTATCTTAGACTTTATGGTATTCGTTTTATTGTCATTCATACAATTTTGTATTATGATTCACACTTAACCTTAGGGCTTAACATTTGAAAAATCTTTCCTTTAACATGCTACAAAATAAATCTTACCGACTTTGAACTAGATTAACCCTATTAGCAGTAATATACCCAAAAGTCCCCTCGCCTCACTCGAGCATTCAATGGTGGTTAGTTTTTTCTTTTTTTCCCCTTTCTTCATCGACATTTCTCACTGATTGATTTGATTTTTATTAAATAATCCTTGTAAATTAATACGGTCTAAAATTAATATTAGGGTAAAGACGATTGATTATTTAAATAAGATTAGTTCACAATCTAATCTTATAAATTTTTCTCACGTCTTGATGTGATAGCTCGCAATTGAGTAAGTGAGACCCATAGCGAGCAAACAGGACACATTTACGAGCTGATAATTACGAACTGTCACGTTAGGGTTATGAAATAAAATTTTTAAAATTAAGTTTAAATATAGCATTGCTCTTTATTATTTTGTAACGGATTTTGGTTAGTATAATTACACAAATTAATTAAGAATAGTGTCTTTTTAACTTGCTTTTGACCATGCACCATTGTGTACCATGCCATAATGTCTCTACTTCCAAGAATTGACAACTAATGGCGGGGATTGTTTATTAAATATTTACCTTTTTATCACTTAAAAAAAACAAAAAAAAAAAACTATTTAGTTCAACAAAAATTTTAAAAAAATTGTGTACAATTTCATGAACAATAGAAAGAAAGAAATAATTCACATCGAAAAATTCGCTTATAAATCATATGAGTTCTTGACATACATATATTAATATCTAAAGTTATAGAAATATATTATATAAAATTCAATTTGTAAAACTTTAATAGTGAGAGTAATTAGTAAAAAAAAAAAAAAAAGGGTCTTCAATTTAAACCCAAAAACGGTTTAATTAATATAATTTATCTTATCATTAGATCAACACCCATAATATAGCAACCCAAAAAGAAAAAAGAGAAAATTAAAAGAAAATAAATTCTAATAGTTACTTAAGAAAAAAGAAACTATATATATAACCATTATCGCCAACCAACACCTGATAAAAAATTTAAATAAATTTTTATTGAAAAATGGTAAAATTTTATTTCTTAGTGATTATTATTATTTATGGGAACTTGAGAAAATATGAACGTCCACACTAGGGGTAAAAATCGAGCCGAGCCGCTCACAAGCAGCTTGAGCTCAGCTCAACAATAGTCGAGTTGAGCTCGAGTTCGATTACAATATAACTCGACTCGAAAAGTTCGGTTAAGCTCGAAAAGTTCGCTTAAACTTGATTAAAATTCGATTGTACGAGCTTGAATTCGAATTTCAAGTATCGAGTTTGAGTTCAACTTGATTTCTTAGGCTCGGTCAGACTCAAATTCGAACTCGAATTTCGATACGACAACAATCGAATCAAATTCAACAAGCTAGATACTCGATTCGACTCGACTCGATTGTTTTACCTTCCGTTTGCACCTTATAAATCTAAATAAAAAATAGAAAAAGAAAATGCTTTTAATTTAAATGCTATGACGTATAGATGCAAGGTTCATTAATGAGAACAAGGTTGTTGACAAGCACAACTAATAGTCTTTCTTGGTAAATAAATAATTTTCTTTTATGTGATATAATAAATTTTAGCCCCAATCAATGCTTTGAAATTTAATTTAAGATTTAATAATATTAATATAAATTCATAATAACATTTTATTCTTATTATATGAGTAAGCCAATGCTAATTACTTATCTATATGGTTAATTCATTTTGCTTAATTAGGTATTATCTTTAATTTAATTTGTAAAATATTTTAAAATCATTATCCGAGCACCGTTTTGGGTAATATTTGTTTCCAAAATAATATCTATTTTAATTTTAACTAAAACATTATAAAAATAAGTAAAAGGAAAAGCTTTTTGACATTTTCTAATAATAAGCTCATTGTAAGATCCGTGCGTGCGACTTCACTCTATATTTGTGCCTTTAAGATATTTACAATCCTTATATATATAAGCACAAAATAAATTAAATTTTTGGACAAAATTTTATTATGTTATTTGCCAATTACAATTAATTAGATAAAGCCTTCAACTACAGACAAAATAAATAAAAAACCTATCCAGAAAAAGTCAAAAAACCTCAACGACATCGTTTCGTCTGTAATGACAGTTAGATAAGGCTTTCTTTAGTTTTTTATTTATTTTCAATTTTCATAAATTTTAATATTTAATATATATAATTTTTCATAATAAGAGGCTTTTGACTTTCACTTTCCTGTTCAGTTCTTCAATCTGTTTTTGTTTTTATTATTTTTATTTTTTATTTTTAAAGTCCCCAATCTCTTCTCTTTTCTCTCTAAACAAACAGACGCGTATCAGTACGTATCCATTTCTAGGGTTTATCTTCAATTTTGTCCTCCAATTGATATATCAGAACACTGGTAAGTTAATTATTATTTAATTTATTTGTACTGTTGTTTGTTGTTGTTATAGTTTTGTGAATGTTTGGCGATCATTGAATTTACTGCTCTCACCCTTGCTTTGAGTTTTGAGTTGATTTCATTACGTCGCATTAGGTTCATTAATTTCTTTCATTTTCTCACTTAATTTTAGGGTTTCGATTGCATTTTCATGATGCTAGTAATTTCAAGACTATCGTGATTGTCGTTTGGTTTGTTGTTATTGTCAAAATCGATAAAGTGCGATTGTAGATTGCTACCTATTGACGTCTCTCACTATATCTTCTGTTTCTTCTTCTTCTTTTTATTTTTTTTTATTTTTTATGGATGGATAATCTATTGGGTGCATTTTGGACAACATGGCTTCATCTATTTTCTTTTGTTTTGTTTTGTTGCTTAGGGTTTTCATTTGGATTTAGTATGAAATCAGTTTGAAAGGACCAAAAGATAAAGAATCTGGTTCCTTAATTATGCACGGAGGTATTTGTTGCTGATTCCAGACTTTTTATCTACTGAAACAAAATGAAAGATTAAATTGCCAGCTGTGTTATTAAGGCATTTTGATTGAGTTTGAAGAATTCACGGACTGATTGATGTTTTATCATCTTTTTGGTGGAAGTAAATATAGGATTTGACATATGATGTTATAACGTATATTTTTATTACTACCATGGTTATGATGGGTCTGTTGTTCAAGTGATAAAGCAAAAATATTGATTCTTTGTTTTTTCAGCTGAAAGGAATTAGTTTGTGACTACTGGTTGTTGACTTATTGTTTATTGATATTTGTTTAAGGAGTTGCAATGCACCGGGTGGGTAGTGCGGGTAACAACTCCAATTCTACTCGGCCCCGTAAAGAGAAGAGGTTGACATATGTGTTAAATGATGCTGATGACACGAAGGTGAAGTGATTTATTATTTATCTTTCATTTTTACTTTCACCACTATTTTTTATTTTATTTTCCAAATTGTTTTAGTTACCATTTTTAATGAGATACATTCTCATTTTGTGGGACTTGCCCCTTTTTTTTTCTATTTAGTTAAGATAGTGATGCTATATTCATTTCTGCGAAGGAGTAATTTGGGACACATAAACTTGGGTGGTGGTGTGTTATTCTATGGGTGCTCTTTATGCATGAGCTTAATGCATCTTTTCTGAATCAGACCACGAACATTTAATTGCATCTGATTTGTTGCTGATATTCTAATGTTGTTTTTGCACATCATTATGTTGAGTACTTAATAAATCCGTGTTTCTTAATTAATGATGTATTCACTATAAAACTCTAATATCACTCTGTCAGTGGCTGGTGAGAGGGTAACTTTGTTGCGCCATTTTTTTGATACAGCTGTAACTTTTTTTTTTTTGGCTTTTTATTCTCATACTGGAAAGACAACTGGAATTCAAATGCATTATTGTGGCAAATAAAAATCTTATAAAGTCATACAAGTGTGAGACCCATCCATTTTCTGAAATCAGTCATATTCATTTATTATGCTTATTGTTTAGTATATGTATCACCTTCTTTTCAACCTTAAGCTCTTTATTTACTAGAAAGCAGTTGCAATTGACTTCATCGATGTAGTGGAGTTATAGATTCTCATGCTGCTATATCTGGAATTTTCATCTTGCAGCATTGTGCTGGCATAAACTGTTTGGCTGTATCCAAGTCATCGGCATCTGATGGCTGCAATTACCTATTCACTGGGAGCCGAGATGGCACACTAAAGAGATGGACACTAGCTGAAGATGCTGCTAGCTGCTCTGCTACTTTGGAGTCGCATGTTGACTGGGTACTTATTTATTTATTTGTTATTTGGTAGTTTTAATTCTTTATATGTATGATAGGTCAGGGTTTTGGTTGAATGTTATTAATTTGAATGCATAAGCTGCTAGTTATCTTTTAATATGCGAAGAATGTCTATTGCTGTGCAGGTTAATGATGCTGTAATTACCGGTGATAATACACTTGTTTCCTGCTCTTCAGATACCACTCTCAAGGTTTGTTAATCTTCATAAAATTTGATGGTCTTGTAATCTGCTTCTTTTGGATGCTTTTTGTTGATTGGTTTGTTGTTTTTTGGGTTGAGATATTTCAGACTTGGAATTGCTTGTCTGGTGGAACTTGTACCAGGACTCTGCGTCAACACTCCGACTATGTTACTTGTCTTGCAGCAGCAGAAAAAAATGTAATTTTTATGTCAATTTTTTCGTGGGTCTTATTATCTTCTTTGAAGAAAGGTTCCTCAGTGAAATCTTGTTGTTTAAGCTTTATTTCAATTTTGTTGCAAAAATTGCTCATTGTGATATCATATCTATATTTTCAAAGTCATTTTTCTGATCCTCTTTTAGTATCATGCATTTTAGAGCAATCTTGTTGCTTCTGGTGGTCTTGGTGGGGAGGTTTTCGTATGGGATATTGAAGCCGCAGTTACTCCACTTTCAAAACCAAGCGATGTGATGGAGGAAGATTGTTCAAATGGTGTCAATGGTTCTGGGAATTCTTTACCAATAACAGGTTTACGAACTATTAGCTCTAGCAACAGCATCTCTGCGCACACAATTCAGTCACATGGATATGTACCTACTGCTGTCAAAGGCCATAAGGAGTCTGTCTATGCATTGGCTATGAATGATAGTGGAACCCTTCTTGTCTCTGGTGGAACTGAGAAGGTATGGTTAACTATAATTGTCATTTTAGCATTCTGACGTTGTCTTGTTTGTATGTGAGACGAATTTTATTTAGTTATCGTGCTTCTTCTAGGTTGTTCGTGTTTGGGACCCAAGAACTGGTTTGAAGACTATGAAGCTAAGAGGGCATACAGATAACATTAGAGCTCTGCTTTTAGATTCTACTGGCAGGTTGGTTGAATAGAGTCTGCTGCTACATGATATCTGCTATAATTGGATACTAGTGGTCTAAATTTTATTGTAATACGATCATATTTGTCACAAATAGTTCATCTACTATTTTCAAAGAGCTGATAATGTACTTCAGATGCATGTTGTAACATGAGAGACGGGTTTCTGATGGGCAATGCCTCTTAATGTTAGATTTTCTTGTAATGCTATTGAAATAAGATTTTGGGTTATTGTTTGATGGGCTTTATATGATAATTGACCTTTATTTATTTATTTACTTTTCATTCTTGCAGGTTTTGCTTATCAGGATCCTCTGACTCTATGATCAGGTTGATTGTCATTTTATTGCTTTAATGTTATCCCAATCATGCAATTGCTTAAGACCTTGCTTTAATTGTTGCGGATTTATCTCCATAGGTTATGGGATCTTGGTCAACAGCGATGTGTGCATTCATACGCTGTACATACAGATTCTGTTTGGGCACTTGCAAGCACCCCCACATTTAATCATGTTTATAGTGGTGGGAGAGACCTCTCTGTAAGTGCCTTTATTTGTGAAACTTGGAGACATTATAAAAGCAAATCTTCCCTCATTTTCTCAATTTCTATTATATAGCTTGGTACTCAATTGTGCATATTTCCTCAGTTATACTTGACAGACTTGGCGACAAGAGAGTCTCTCCTGCTTTGCACTGGGGAACACCCCATTCTGCAACTGGCATTGCATGATGACAATATATGGGCTGCAACGACTGATTCTTCAGTTCATAGGTGGCCAGCTGAAGGACGTAATCCTCAAAAGGTCTTTCAAAGAGGTGGTTCATTCTTAGCTGGAAATTTGTCCTTTTCAAGGGCAAGGGTTTCCTTGGAAGGATCTACCCCTGTAAGTAATTCTATACTTCTCTGTTCATTGTGCAATGGTGGCTGTTGCATGCTGTTATTTCTTCTGTTCCCACTAGAAATCCCAGTTTTGAAGTTGTATGTCCCTTGGATTTTCCATCACTAAGGCTTCATTTTTGGGTTGATTGCTGAGGATTTTTGGACTCGGGGATAGTTTTGGTGTTTCAAAGGTTGTTGTGTTATTGGTTCATAAATATCTATTTCCTCATCTCCAATTCGCCATAAGTGCTCGCTGAATTGCTTGTCCTCACAATATTTTGTTTTTGCTTGGATGCGAATTTCTTATGATTATTATGTAATGCTCAAATAAATTATCTCTCTCTAAGAGTTATATAAATATGTATACACTTTGATAATTGGGTACTGATGGTTTGGCCTTTTCATAGGTTCCTGTTTATAAAGAACCGACCTTTACAATTCCTGGAACCCCAGGAATAGTGCAGCATGAAATTTTAAATAATCGAAGGCATGTCTTGACTAAGGTGAATATTATATTTTCAATTATATACACTAGTTAATGTTAAAATTCTAGCTTTTGCATTTGGGTTTTTCTTGAACTGATATGTTGTGCCTCTTTGATAGGATACTGCTGGTTTGGTAAAGCTATGGGAGATCACCCGAGGTGTTGTGGTTGAGGACTATGGAAAGGTAACCAGAAGCTTTTCTTCTTATTTTTCCATTATTTTTTTTCGTTTCACTAGAACTATCTGGTTGTTGGTGTATGGTATTGTTGCTATAATGATATGTGATTACAATCTTTTAGGTATCGTTTGAGGAGAAAAAGGAACAATTATTTGAGATGGTATGTTTACTGTTTTGTTTTTATGATGCATTGTAGTTTCATGGGAAATTATCCCATAATTTTTTTAAGTTTATGTTGTTTTGAATCTTATTGTTGATTTCCCTTTCACTCCAGGTAAGCATTCCTGCATGGTTCACTGTGGATACTAGACTTGGAAGTTTGTCTGTTCATTTGGACACGCCACAATGCTTCTCTGCGGAGATGTATTCAGCAGACCTTCAAATTGCTGGAAAACCTGAGGATGATAAGGTAAACATTTATCTTGTTGACCATGGCTGCACACAGACAACAATAAACATACTTGTTTCTTATCTAATTCATTCTGATAATGAGGGGGTAAACTGTAGCTCCTAAAGATTTGTCAACGAATGAAGGTCAACACCGCATATCTGAAGTCATGTGTAATTAATATGTAGAGGTGTGTACAGCTACTGAATAAACTTAAAAAAAGTTCTAGTGTCGACTTCCAATAGTTCTTGAACTTGCTAGAATCTCCCCCTTATTATTGGAATGAATTAGATTTGATAATTTTAATCTTATAGATTTATCTATTTCTGGAAAGAATATTTAAAAGTTCTAAAAATATGTAATCTATTTAGAGTTTGAAGGAGTCTTGTTTCATTGACTTGTGCGATCCACAGGTTAATCTGGCTCGGGAAACGCTCAAAGGTTTATTGGCTCATTGGCTGGCCAAAAGAAGGCAGAAAGTGGGTTCACAAGCTTCTGCTAATGGGGATGTTTTGTCTGGGAAGGATATTACTACTAGAGGCCTTACCCATTCAAGAATTGAGGTGGATGGTAATGTTGAAAATGACTCCATGGTTTATCCTCCATTTGAATTTTCAACTGTTTCCCCGCCATCAATAATTACTGAGGGTTCTCAAGGAGGTCCATGGAGAAAGAAAATTACCGACTTAGATGGAACTGAAGATGAAAAGGACTTTCCTTATTGGTGTCTTGATTGTGTATTGAATAATCGCTTACCTCCTAGAGAAAATACCAAGTAATTTTTTTTTTTTTTCAACTTATTTTTTGTTATTCACTAATTCATAATCGTCTGGAAAATTGTGACAAAGTTTGCTCATGTGAAACTGTTTGTATAATAAGTGTGATAGTTGGGATTTCATTTGATGAAATTATATGCAGCATGGGAAGAACTCTGTAATTTATGAGACAAGTTTCATTTCCTAGCATTGTGGGCTCTGTCTTCAAGGAATATTTAGTTGGTTCTCTTGTTCTTATTAAGCGTCATATGGGAGAGGGGGGTCAAACAAAGGCCTGTTTTTTTTTTTGGGGGGGGGGCGGTGTTTGTGTTGTAAAGGCTAGAGTCATACATAGTTGTATAGCTTGCTTTCTTCAAGGGCTACTTTGTATTTGCTATTATGGATTTCTTGTCTGCTTTTGTGATTCTTACAACGACATATAAATATATGACTACATGAATCCTTGTTGTGCCATGAAAGATTCGACTCCGGCAGCTCTTCTTCTTCTGCTGCTGCTATAAGGAATCGGACTTTTAGGATACCTTAGTAAACTTGCTATCATTTATGATTTATCAGCAGTTTATAGTTAAGCAGGGTCTTCCGCCTCTAGTAAAAGTTTATGTTTGATTATACAGGTGTAGCTTTTATCTGCATCCATGTGAAGGTTCAGCTGTCCAGATCCTGACACAGGGGAAATTAAGTGCACCTCGAATATTGAGAATACACAAGGTAAATTAGTTTCAACATGGTCATTCACAATTTAGAAACTTTTGTGTGGCTTTCTTGTAGGATAAGTAAGTGTATTTGCTCTGAATTTTATTTGTTTCTGTTTAATGCTACTGTTTCATAAGTATGTGATATCCTTGCATTGTTATCTGAGAAAAAAATGCCATTTACTGTTGTTTCATTAAATATTTAAAAGAATTGCATTAATTTTGTTCTTAAACTTAATACTGCGGCTGTTGTGAATGTGCTGGTGTATTTTGGCTATAACTATGTTATTTCTTTTTCCCCTAATATTATCTGCCTACAAATGATATTTTATGGAGGAACTTAAATAAGAATGATGCAGAATGATATTCTCCAGGAAGCAGAGAGGCTGCTTGGCTACGTTTAATAATCCCAAGCATGTATAAAAAGGTTCTACTGCATTTTTTAGTTGTTAATATGCTAGTACTAGGTTTGGAGCTTAGAGCCTATACAATATCTGGATTGGAGACTTTATATTTGTCAACTTAAGTGACCTTTTTTTGTTTTTTGTTTTTTTTAAATTCCTTAGTACTTTTTATAGTGTCTAGTCTGAAATGAAATGGTCATGAACCTTTGAAGATGCCATAATATTCTGATAGTATTATGGCCTGAATAGGAGCTCCATACATGTGCTGAGACATTCTCTAGGTTGACAATGCCTTGCTGTGTTATATTATTTGTCTATTACCTTGTACCACCATGTTATTTTTGCTTGGACCATGATCATCTTGGCTTTACTGCTATGTTTATGTAGGTTGTTAATTATGTCGTGGAGAAGATGGTTTTTGACAAACCATCAGATGGTGTAAATTCTGATGGAACATTTCCTGGTCTTGCTGGAGGCCCATTACAGCATTCGGCAGTGGGAGATTCATTCCGATCTGGTTTGAAGTCATGGCAAAAACTTAAACCTTCGATAGAGATCTTGTGCAATAATCAGGCTAGTGAATTATTTTTTTGATGTTGAGTAATTTTAACCTATCAATGTGTTCTTTAGTCCTGGAGTTTTGGTGCTGAGGTTTTAGTAAAGATAGCAATACAGTAAGTAAAATGAGAAAGAAACTTACAAAGTAGAAACATTTGAGAGTCCTCCTGGTCCTGTATCTCTGTAGGCTTAGAAAGTATCATTATTTTAGTTGAAACTGCTGAGATTCTTAATCTCATACTTATGCTATCTAGTGCCATTTCATTTATATGACTAGTTGTTTCTTTTTCGGAGAAGATTAAACAATTTTAGACATTTTTTTTCTTGATGGTTTTAATTTATAAACGACTGTGTATTATGCCTTTATGATTGTTGGCACTAAAGTTCGTTGGGTTTTATAATATGTTTCCGTGTTTTCCAGGTATTATCCCCAGAGATGAGTTTAGCTACTGTGCGGGCATATGTATGGAAGAAACCTGAGGACTTGGTTCTTAATTACAGAGTTGTCCAGGGAAAGTGACTACATTCGATTTGAGAAGAAGGTGAGTGTATTTCACTTCCTGTTGGGTCTTGAATCCAGCTAATCAATTCAGAAGATAATTTTGCCAGTGTTTTCTACAAAGGCTTATATTCAGTTGCTTTCGATGATTGCTAAATATGACTGTGCTGAGTCCATGCTAATTCCATAGTACATTGCAGTATTTAATGTTTGCACAATTGGTATTGGTCATCGCAGGCTGGACTTTGCTTATGATGGAGGGCTTATGCTCGTGTAAAATACTGGGTTATATAAATGATTCTTCTGGGTTGCCTTTGATGATCTGAAGTAATCTAGTGGGTGGGTCCTTGTAAATTTGGTAAACCAATTGATTGATAAATCTCGGGGCATCATCGGAACCTGCCAAGAAGATCCCATTAATCATTTTCCTAGTTAGGCGGGTGATATCATGAAAAAATTTTGATCTTTGTCTGGTTGACATGCAAGCTTTTGCTGGACGTTACAAAGTTGTTATACAGTGAATTTGCATGTGGGAATAGATTGGGAGGAAAAAAAAAAAAAAAGAATTATCGGGAAGTAGTTTGAATACTTTCCTGAGGATCACCAAATTAGAGGAGATGATGTTGAAAGCTTGTAGATTTGTATTGTGGGATACTATACCTGCTCGTAGGAACCCTGTTAATGATGAAGGTGGTTTTTTTTTTTTTTTTTTTTTTTTAAATTTGTTTTTCGGCAATAAGACGCAAATCATTTGTGTTGAATTAGTCCATTTACATATTTATAAATATATATTTTTTCCCTGGTGTCCAGAGTTGACTCTACTCTTACAAGGACAGTTGGCATATTGATTGCAATAAGATCCAATGAAATAGTTGGAAAATTTGATGCTCTTGGTTGATGATGAAACTTGAAAGGAAGTAGTGACAGTAGTTGATACGGAAGTGTATAATTTGTGTTGTCTTTGTCTCATAATTTGTCTCTATGGCTTGGCGCTATCGGGCCGTGGTTTTTGACAAATTGAACATACACGTGTGACCTATTGTCGGCCACTGGCAGTGAAACATAGAAAAGGATAATAACAATAACAATCTCGTCCCTCAGTTGAATATTTTTGGTCCTGGGGTTTGCTAGTGGCACGGACTAAAATGTCACAGACACTGATAGGGACAGAAACATTACTAAACAATCCTGCAAGATTAAAGGGTGCTTAGGCTGAACTTCAGGGACGGAATTGTTATTTTTCAAACTTAAAATTGTCAAGTTTCGTACGTCTTTGAGAGATAGTTATTGAATATTTGTAACTCTGACCCCTAAGACGTAAATGTTTTAGCACTTTCGAGGTGGCTAAGTTTCATACGTCTTAGAGAGATAGTTAAGTCTTAAATCTCCAATGTCGTAAGATTCTCTGGAAAGTATCGAATATTATTCGAAATTACCAAAAGATCTCTAACAAATATCATAAAACCTTCTTAAAGTATCAAAAGGCCTTTTTAAAAAAATATAAAAAAGCACTTATATTTAGGGACCGGAGGAATAGAAAAAGTTTCAATAAAGTGAGTAATAGTCAGTTCAAACGATTAAGATTGGTAACAAACACTCCACGACCAGGAGGGTGCCAATTCTTGGAAACAAGAGAAACTTCACTGGAATGTGAGCCACCCAGTTTTTCCCAACTTTCTGCAAGTTTACATGCAGCTTCAGCCACCCAATAAAGTTCAAGCCTTCAAATGTCTATAAATTGACTATGATACATGGCAACCCATGTGTTTTGATATTTTCAATTAGGTCGTTGTTTTTCCTTCGTTAAGCTTCGATGAATAATTGAATATGACTTTGTTTTTCGTACTTGCAAAAATCTTAGTACAATATGGTGCGTTTGGTTTAGAGAATATTATATTAATGAGAAGATAAATTATTTTATAGGTTATTGAGAATGTTTAGAGAAATGTATTTGGTTAAATTGGTAAGTATGCTATATAGATTATTGAATTGCCCTTCTATTTTAATGTTATTAATATTATTTTAGATTAATTTTTTACCCTTACATTTCTTAATTTAGCTAAACACCCCACAATAAAAGTTTAAAAATTAACTAAAGCACCCCAGCCACCCAAGAGACAGACGACCGTCCACCACCACCATCGGACGAAAGTTGACAGTCATTGTAATGGCATACAATCAACTGAATCTGGTTGGTCGTGTGCCGATATGATCATTTTCGGCCAGATCTACGGCTAGATTCTACCTGTCAACGGTCAGATCTTTGGCCATTGTTAATAGCTAAATCTCGACCAGATCTTTTATTCAGTTGTGTGCCGTTTCGGTGGCGGCGGCTAGTAGTGGTTGCTAGTGAGCGGTGGTGGTCTTGGGGGGCCTACAATTTGTTTTAGATACAAGGGCATTACTGTCCAAAAACTTAATTAATTAGGGGTAAAATTGTAATGGAAAATTTATGTAAATTAATTTTAAAATAAGGGCATCTGTGCCCAAAAATTTTATTAATAATGGGTAAAATTGTAACAAAATTAACATTACAAGTAATCTTAAAATACCTAAAAAAATTGAGATAATTAGATTACCACCTATATAACCAATAGTAATTACTTTTGGTTTTAGAAGATTAACAAAATTTTATATTATTTGACAACCAAACGTGGTAATCTAAGTAATATAAGATGACATTACCTCAATAATAAGATATAACCCCTAACCAAACGCTCCCTTAAGGTTAATTGGTTTAGTAATATAAATTAGTTTATTTCATTTTCTCCCATGAGATCGCTGCTTAGAATTTAAATCATCGGTTTCATTAAGAAAGTATTAAATATCACATGTTTTTAATAATTTTGTAAGGGGTTGTTAGATATTTGTAGAAAGATTTTGCTCATTACAAAGAGAGTTTTTAATACTTTTTTGATCTCATAGGAAAAAATAAAATGAAGCATAATATAAATAGTATTAATTGATTCCTGTGTGTTTAGAGGTGATATGTAGTGCAACTTGGAAGTATATACATCTTTGAAGGAGATTAAAAATTTCACTGATGGAGGTTTCTCAAAGTCACAAGTCCATTTTATTTTTTCACTAAAAGACTAAAATACCCTTAATTATATTATTTTTGAGTTTCTTATTTGAATTTATGTATAATATATTTCTATTAAATTTTCTATGTGTTTATGTGATTGAAAATGAGATTCGACATATGATAATGGATTATTTATTTATTTATTAATTCCTTAATAAAATTTATTATCTTCTTCCAAATCTCATCATCAAACACACAAATCAAACCCAACACGTAAATTTTTTTTTTTAAAAAAAGAACACAATAAAAAACTTAAAAGTAATAATTTAGGATATTTTAAATAAAATAATTGAGTGGATTCGTCACTTTCAGAATCCTTGTAGCTGGCCGCATTTATTAATTGATTCTTATTTCTAGACGTCAAAATTGGAAGTATATAACACATCTAGAAAAGACCAGGAAAGCCATTACTTTCTAGGGCTTTTTTCAAATTATTATTTAGTCAAAATTTGGACTTGACAAAAGCTATGCAAAGAATTGAGAACTTAGACCATCTCTAACCCATTGCATTAAATTAGTGTGATTTTTTGTGTGAAATACTATTACATCTCCAATCCACTGTACTAAATATTACATTAAAAAAAATATTCTTTTTTTCTTTTATTATAAGAATCAATAATTATTCTATTTCACTTATTATTTTTGTATATATTAATTAAACATTAAGAATGATATTTTTATTAAATAATAATTACTTTAAAACTTATACTAATTTAATAAAATTAAACATTTATTTAATAAAAAAATTACCGTTAATATAGAAAAACATTATATCTAATATAAAATGATACAAAAAAAGAAAAGAAAAAAGACAACAACAACACAAAAATAAAATTCTATATTGATAGAATTTCCGAATTAGTATATTCTTTCCACAAATGATCAATTAATGCATTTCGAAGAGAATGGTAAGCCTCTGTATCCTTGATTTGTCTACGTCGAGCAAAAGAATTTTAAAATCAGACATTTTCATCTACAACAATTTCAATTTCAGGAGTTGACGCTTCCATCTTAGAGGATCCGAAACTAATCTATCGAAATACTAAATTGTTATTTTAGTTTATGTTGTACTTTCTTTTAATTTTAGTGTTTTTAAATTAGTGTTAATTTTTATTTTGAGTTATTGTAGTTTAATATTTGCATTGAATAAAATTTTGTTTTTAATTTCTCATCACTTTTTTAATTATATAATTATTATTATAAATATTAATATAAATAATAATCAAATTAATTTAAATATAAATAACAAAATTTAAATTAAATTTTTTTTACTGTACTATAATATCACACCAAATTGACGTGTATAAATAGTATTACACCAAATTTGGTACGGTCCGGTAACAGAGCACCCAACGAATGGCGCTGGGTTGGAGTTGAAATTTGCGTTTTACACCAAAGTAACGCAGGGTTGGAGATACCCTCACGACAGCCATGCACGAGTTTCTGTTTGGCTTTCTTGTATCATTATATGCATTTCCAGCCGTCCACTACAAATATTTCGTTTCACACTGAAAAAAAAAAAAAAAAAAAAAGACCATAAATCTATTAATAATATCTCAAACATAGTTTCTATTACATAAAGTAATTTTAAAATATGTTTTTAGAAAATATTTCGGTCTCTGTTAATCTTAATTCTCAAAATGTCAAGATTTTGTGTAAAAGACGATTTAGCCATAAAATCATATTAATCAACCTAATTATTCTTAATGAAAATAACAACAACAAAAAAAGATAGAATGTGTTAGATTACCAAGTCTAGCGTTTCATATTAGAAATATACATCATATGTTGTTTCAATAAGGGTATAATTGGTAAATCACTGAGTTTTACAATTAAATTTATCTTTCAAATAAAACTTGTATGGTTTAGAAAATTGTGATTATTGAGTTGAAACATTAATAATTATACCACCACCCAAAAGTATAATACATACTAATGTTGGAATTTAATAACAAAATTGGCAGCAAAACAGTAGCAGCAAACCAGTGAAAGAATAGTTATGAAACAGCAGAAGAACAACAGTGAAATAGTAGGAAAATAGCAAGAGAACCGCAGGAAAAACAACAGAGAGATAGCAGCAAAACAGAAAAAGAACAGCAGTGAAACAGCAGAAAAACAGTAAGAGGACAGCAGGAAAACAACAGTAAGAATTGAAGGGAGACAGCAGCAAAATAATAACAATACAACAGTGAAACAGCAACGAACACGGCAGCAAGACAGCAGCGTCAAGGCGTGCGAAAGCACTGTCCTTAAGATCAGAATTCCACCCCTACTGGAAGAATCTTCGTGGTGCAAAAAGGTTCAACAGCGGATTGACCTCCAGGACACAATGACAAATCTCATTTTAGAGTGCACACTCTAATAGAGATTTAGAACAATATAGGAAAAATAACAGCGGTGAAGGAGAGCTGGAAATTAAAAAAACACAGAGGAAACAAAGATTTTTCAAGTGAAAAATTGTGTGTTTCAAATGAGAAAACCACCCTTTTTTATACTTGAAAATCTGCCCGTTTTCCCATAACTCATTCTTGCTGTAACCAAAGTCAATCAATTGCTTTTAAAACCATAACTGCCCAAGACTGATTTGAATTGCAATAACTTGGAATAATTCAATTGCTTTTAATATATAACAGTCTAAAAAACAATTAAAATATTCAATTGCTTTTAATATATAACAACCCAAAAGCAATTAAAATTTCAATTGCTTTTAACAAATAATAGTCCAAAAACAATTACAATTTGGTATTTTGAAATACCATAATAACAGCTTTTATCACAACTAACACTTAAAAAATGAATTAAATCACCATTGAGTGGTCTGATGGTAAAAGATAAAAAAGAGGTTTCATGAGCCGCTTGAGTTCTAATAGGGGTGGTTACCAGAGTTTTTACACGGTCGACAGTTTTAAAGCTTTGCCAGGGGATTAGTTAAGGTGTGTGTAAACGACAGTTTTAAGGTCAGTCAGAGGGTTAGTTGAGGTGACGTGTAAGCTCGCTCAGATACCCCGATGAAAAAAAAAAGGATTAATTTGTAGTATTAGAAGAATAATATTACTCTGATGAACGTTTTCATTTAATATAGGAGAATGTTAAAAACATGAGTCGTTTTAACTTTTAAGTTGTTGAGAAAGGTGTTGGACTTTGCTTTGGACTCAAATCTTTCCTGTCTGCCATTTATTGCATTAACTATTAAGATCTTTACAAATAAAGATGATTAAATATTAAAATTATAGCAAAGTATAGCATATAATCTATGCAATCATTGTATAACTTATGTTAGCCACCGTCAATCAAAGTTCAGGCAGACTTTGTACCATCCAAGAGCAATCACATCATCAAAAGACAAAAAAAGTATAGCTGTAATTAACTTGGCAGACTTAGGCTTTGTCTACGAGTGGATGAGAGTCGCCCACTTATCAAAGCCCTGCGCGATTTGAGGACATTTGCCATGTAATTAGCCAATGAGAAGTGCGGTAGGAATTGTACTACACCTGTCTACTTGCAGACTTGTAATCATTACCCTAAAATCTTTTATTATAAATAGAGGGCTCTCTCTCTCATTTTCAAGATTCTGATAAGAAACTCACATTCTAATTATAAATTTTTACTCTCAAAACACAGACAACCTGCAAGAAAGAGATTAGCTTGATATTTTTTATGAATAATCAATTACTTGTACCTCTATTCGCTATTTGCTTTATGCAATCTCCTCTGATCTCGTATATAAAAAAGAATAGTAGACATAGGATTTACTTTAAACATACAAACCACTTTAAAAACTATTTTTCATTTACTTTATTATATTTTTTATTCACGTATAATTTTTAAACCAGTTTTTTAACACTTTACATCGTATCGAATCTTCGTGTCAAAATCAATTATCAACGTATCAATTGCGCAACTTTGAACGACTCCCCTATTGCCTTTTTGGCCTATCTATTCACCAGCCGTAGCTTCCCCATAAAAAAACTGCACTTCACCCACTTCACCACAACCCACTTCACCACAACCCACTCCACCATTAAAAACCAAATTTTTTACCGCTACAAACTGCGCGCCTAACAAGCACAAGTTTAGGTAAGTGTGGCCTCTGCTTCACCAGATACAATGGAAATGTCTAGGCCACTTATCAGACTGCTCTACTAAATTCCAAAATGTCACTTAACTCATTTTGCACTTTTCTTTCGTTTCCTTTTCTATTTCTTTTTCGTTTTATTTCTGCTTGGTAAATTTTGTTACCCATTATTCTTCATTTGCTCCATTTAGTGAATATTAATAATAGTATTTATTTTTTTGGTAGGAACTCTATATAAGTTTGTGATGTGGAGATACTGTATTCCATTCTGCTTTCTGGGGTTTTCTTAGTTTTAGTTGTTGTATTGTGGTTTCTGGGTTTGCTTTGATTTTCATGTTTAGTGGATATTTGTTGTTTTTACTTTTTTGAAAGCATGAAGTGTGTGATTGTTTCTGTTAGAGTGAGTTGGGGAACAGTGTTGCAGCTCTTATCTAGTTTCTAGAGCTTGAAAGTTGCTGTTTTTCCGTTGGTGAATTTTAAAAAGGGTCAAACTTTTGATGTCATTGCTGGTACAAAACATGGCATCAGTTGTTACTTTCAGGGTATCACCTAGTTCTGCAATAAATTTAGAGTATAAGCCTCGTTTTAGAGTGAGAACTCAGAGTTTAGGTGATGGTGATTCATCAGTTTTGTCATCTGATTCACTTGTGGTGAATGGTGGTTCTGTAACTAGGGAGAAAGTGAAAGATGGAACCTTGGTGCATTCAGGAAATGGGAGGATAAAGCCTCGAATTGAGGAGAAAAAGTTGGTTAAAGATGCCGTTTCAGAAGATTTAGAGGTGTTGTGGGAGGATGGATATGGGACTAAGAGTGTCAAGGATTATCTTGATGAAGCTACGGAGATGGTTAAGCCTGATGGAGGGCCACCTCGGTGGTTTTGCCCTGTTGACTGCGGGCCTCCTTTGGAGGGTTCTCCAACTCTTCTGTTTCTTCCTGGTAATTGTTGCTCCATTAATGGTGATTAGCTCCCTGTATTCAAAGGTTTGATGTGTCTTTTATATGAAGAGACATAAGATGGCTAGGATCTAGAAAACAGATTTCTTGGTTTTAACAAGTGATTTTGATCCTCAAAGTTTACTTTAATATCTTGCAGTAGGAATTCTAAAGGTCTGGTAAACAATATACGATCCTAAGAAATGTTTATATTTATATATTCTAATGCTTGCAGGGCTTGATGGACTTGGGTTAGGCCTTATTTTGCACCAGAAACCTCTTGGGAAGTAAGTTTTGTTATGCTATCTTATGAGCAGTTTGACTGCTTGAATATTTCTGTTGGTCTTTTGATTAGCAACTTCTAGATTTATTAATATAAAATAGAAACACAAAATTTTAGATATTGTTCTAAAATCTGGACATAGGGTCAGGTTTCAGGATTGTGTATCTGGAAAAGTAGGGTCAGTTTTGCAGTGATGGTCCTACTCTTATTTATACGTTTTATGTATGTTATGAAACATGGTTTCATTCTACTTTGGATCAAGCTAAATCCCTCCTGTTATTGTTGGAATCGTTTTCTTGCTAAAAATTTCAGAGGGTTTGGCTTTTTGAGTGCTGGTCAAAATGATAAAACTAAACTTATGTTCATTGTTTTAAGTTCCCGTGGATAGAAAGATGTTGACAAATGTTTTTCTGTCCATTTAATTTTGCATAGCCAACTTCAGGAAAGTAAATTAAGATATATTTTCCCATTGCATAAATAAAGAAGTTACATTGAGGAAACTAGATCTCTGTTGCTCAAAATGATTCCCCCTTGACCATATTTCTGTTGTACTATAGTCATATCAAAGTTCTTAAAAGTCATATTTAGCATTGCTATTTTTCATGCATTTTAAAGGTCCTTATTTCTCATTCAGAATTTTTTTTTTTTTTTTTTCTGGGAATGCAGAGCCTTTGAAGTTCGGTGCCTCCACATTCCTGTTTATGATCGAACACCGTTTGAAGGTCTTTACTTTCCAAAACCTGTGAAATCATCCCTTATTAACAAATGTACTTTGTTTAGTTCTTTGCAACTTAATGCGTGCATCAAACCATCAATATGATCAGTAGAACTTGCAAATTTTAGAGTGTGTTGGTGATTTGAGCAATAAGTTGCTTTGGAGCGAGAGAGCATGCCAACGAACTTGGCAAAATGAAATATTATTGGCCTTTTGTGATTTTTAATTTTTTTTCCTTTTTGGAATGATATATCCTATTTTTCATTTTTTATTTTTTTATATGAATGGCTGGTAGGTGAGAATGGGATTTGATATGAAATTGTTGGCTAGTTAGATCTGTAGTTTTTTGAATTCATGGCTATTGAACAGGGTCATTACATTCTATATACTTTAGATTTCTGAAATTATCCTATGTAATTATCTTTCCTGGAAATTGTATTCAGTAATTGAATATCTTCTGATTTTAATTAAAATGTGACATCCATCCAGTGTAGTCTTTTTATACTTATGGCATACTTTGATTTATCAATAACTTTTGCGTATTCTTTTTGCACTTATAGCCTACTTTGATTGATCAATAACTTATGGTATTTCTTGTATGAAGGACTGCTTCAATTTGTTGAAAAAACTGTGAGGCTTGAGCATGCCTCATCTCCCAATAAACCAATTTATTTGGTGGGGGATTCCTTTGGAGGATGCCTAGCACTAGCAGTTGCTGCTCGTAATCCGAGCATTGACTTGGTCCTCGTACTTGCTAACCCAGGTCAGTTTTGCGATATTGAGTTTTATAATTTTAAGTACATATGTTCTTGATACTACAATACATGCTGACATGCTTAGCCTTTCCATTTTAGCTACTTCATTTGGCAGATCACAGCTTCAGCCCTTGTTCCCTGTCTTAGAGGCTTTGCCTGATGAATTACATTTTACAGTCCCATATCTTCTTAGCTCTGTTATGGGTAATGATCTTTTGTTATACATGTGATTATCAGTTGCCACATGTTGCAGTTTGCGATTGTTCTTGTTACACCCCATGAGAAATTGAAAATCTTCTCTGATCTTTCTTAATTTTCTACATCAGGAGAACCAACTAAGATGGCAATGGTTAATATTGACAACAGGCTCCCTCCTAGACTAAGATCTCAACAATTTTCTGCCAACCTTACTGCTTTGCTGCCACGTCTTTCTGTAAGAAATGCTTGCTCTTGCACTTGTGTTATGTAGTACTTTGTTTTTATAGATAAAAAATTCTTTTGTACTTGAATTAGTTTTTGTATTCTTGTTTCGGTTGTTTTTGGTTGTACTGTCCTTTCTACAGTCTCCACTGACTGAAGTTCTACAATATATAGCTGATTTATGGTCATGAAAACCTTTTATTGTGGTTCTACTCCATTTAACTTGTAATTTACACTGTCGAATGAAAGAAAATTCAGGCCAGATGGCGACTCTCTGAATTCATAAAATATCACTTCTGTTCCTCCTATCTATAATGAGTAGTTATTGTAAATGTTATGTTCAAAATAGGCCAGCTAACACTGCACTGGGGTTAGAAGTGCCACCCCACTAATCCTTTTTCACCACAATTTTTCTGATTGCATGAAAAAGAAAAAATTCAAGTTCAAACTGATCCTGCAATTTTCACATCTTGGTTATGCAATTCAAACATTTGCATTATTGTGTTTCAGATGTGCCCTTTTGGAAGCTCTTTGCAGCTATTTTATAAAGTCATGAGAAGGAATGAAATGTGAAATGAAGTGCTTGCTAGTAAACAACACCCACCCTCTTCCAGAAAAAGAAAACCTAATACATACAAAAATAAAGTACATAGTGTAATGTGGTATATTAACCCATTAGAATTGAAGAAGACACTACTGCAAGCAAATGAAATGAAGTGATTGATTTTTCATGTTTTTGACCTTTGAGTTCTTTGTTTAATCTTATTTCCAGACTGAGAAGTTGCAGATGTATCCTCTGAGGGCTATATATTCATCTACGTTCTTATTTATATCCCTTTTTTTTTCTTAATATTTTTCAGGGTATGGCAGATATTATACCAAAGGATACTCTTCTTTGGAAGCTGAAGTTGCTTAAATCAGCTTCTGCGTATGCTAATTCACGTCTCCATGCTGTCAAAGCTGAAGTCTTAGTGCTTGCCAGGTCCTTATTTTCTCAAGAGTTAATGTGGTTTTTCTTATAGTTTGCTGGGCATAGATTATCTGTTGCTTTTCCTTTTCTTTTTAACCTTCAATATTTTATTAATTGTGTTTTGTATCTGTAAATATAATGCTGTCATTAGATATTCTGGATTTTCTGTTCTTGATGAACATGAACTATACAGTAACTTTGAGCCTTAGTTGACTTAGGAATGGCAGCCAATAGGAATTCTGGAGTCATATTATGATGGGAATTTGAGGGCAAAAGTTCTCCATATTGGCCAACCAACACACAAGTGTTATAGTCATGAGCAAAAGCAGGAAGTATTAATTAGTATTTTGTGTGCTTTCATTAACTTCTTCATCTTGTTCGGGACTAGAATGCTTCATTGATACATGAAGTCATTACTTTTTCTAAAAATGATACACGTTATGTTGCTATTGCTATTGAGTCTATCAGGTTTTCTGATACTAAATGCTTAAAACCATCTTATATAAGCTTCATTAGGAGTAAATAAAGCATTTGGAAAAACAAAAATAATTTTGCTTGTATGTGTGTCTCTATATATCTCTTTAAACAAAATAAGCTTCTTGATGAATTTTAAAGTTGAATGTTTGCTTTATTTTAGTGGCAAGGATAAGATGCTTCCTAGTGGAGATGAAGCAAACCGTCTCAGGATTTCATTGCAGAATTGCATAGTTCGCCACTTCAAGGACAATGGGCACTCACTTCTATTGGTAGGTTAGAAAGTGTAAGTTTGTACTGTTAGATTGTGCTGCTCCATCTTAAGCTTTATCTGAGATTGTTTGACTTAGTGGATCTCTTGATCAATTTTAGTATGATTTTTATATACTTGTCATTATATTGGTCAATTATATACTGTAACTCAATAGATGCATTATCATTGTAACTGATTATTGTTCTAGTCAGCTATCTGTGATGCATATTGGTTATATTTGTCTGTTAAACAATGGTCCACTACACCTGTTTTAATATTGTTGTTGGTTGCCTTATCTGATGGCTGGATTTTAATCATATACAAAATACTTTTATTCTGGTTTTCTTTTTTTTTTTTTGGGTTTGTTATGTATGTTTTGGTGTTCTAAGTCCTCAGAAATCTTCCTTTTAAATTACTAAAACTGTTTAGAACTAGCTCTAATATTAATTGATGCAAAATTTCAAATGACAGTTTTTTCATAAATATAACTTCATTTAGATTTTTAGGTGTTGGATTATCTTTCGGATACAAGAATACCAAAAGAAATTTTAACATCATAGCTTTATTATTTTGTCAGTTGCAATCTTATTTTAATTGCCACAATGACCAAGTTCAATGCAGAAGTCAAAACCCAAACACAAATTGGTCTATTTTGTGATGGAGTTTAGGAAAGGGCAAATCCATCTGACATTCTATGCGTGTAACTGTTGTGCCATATGCCCCAGCACAATGAAAAACTTTGTGGTCTCTTAGTTTATGCTTTTAATGTTCTTTTATCTTTCTCATTGATTTGACGCTGTGGCTACAGAATATGATCTCATTTGTTGCACCAATTATGTATCCTTAGTCACATTTGTGTTTGTAAATATTTTATTCTGTGCAAAGAAAATGTAATGTCTACTAATGTTTCTCTTAGGGAGTACAAGCTTAGGGAGTACAAGTATAGCTGAATTCTTTGTTATTGTGATATTACAGGAAGATAGCCTAAGTTTACTTACCATTATCAAAGGAACCTGCAAATACCGTCGTTCAAGGAAGTTTGATTCCATCTTGGATTTTCTGCCTCCTAGTAGGACAGAATTCAATTATGCATTTGATCAAGTGGTTGGGTAATTCTTCACAGCACTTTGCAACATATTCTTATATATTTATAATTTTTTTTGGTGTTTTTGTGATGTGATTTAATCTGCCTATTCCAATCCATGAACCATAATTGGGTTTGAGCACCTTATCAACTGATCCTGCTAGGGACTGACCTGCAGCTTACTCACGCTCAAGCATGAATATGTTAAATCTGAATGATAGTTAAAAATTTGGGTTTGCAAAGAACATCTTTTAAATTTGTTTTTCTCAAAATCCCTCTGAGAGCACATTAAAGCTTTCTTCTAAAGATGTGGTAGACTCATATTTCCTTCATCTCAAAATCCATGAACCATAATTGGGTTTGGGCACCTTATCAACTGATTCTTTTAGAGACTGATCTACACCTTACTCATGCTCAATCATGAATATATTAAATCTGAATGACAGTTAAAAATTTGGGTTCGCAAAGAACCTCTTTCAAATTTGTTTTTCTCAAAATCTCTCTGAGAGCGCATTAAGCCTTTTTTCTAAAGATGTGGTAGCCTCATATTTCCTTCATTTTTCAGCTTAAAGGAAACCTGATCATTGGATGTGCTAACATTGACAAAGACTTGGTTTCTGCAAAAATGTAAATGTTCATTTTTGATTATTTTCTACCTCATCTTTGAGAACATTGTAGTGTATGAGAAAGTTGGCCTCTTAGAGATTTGGCATATGTGATTAATTTATTTATGAAAACCAGTTTCTATATCCAATATTATTACAAGTTTCTATGTAAATTTATGAAAACCAGCAAAATTTTGTTGACATCGAATAAGTTTGTATGACTTTTACTTGTTCTCACAATTAAATGTTGAAATTGAGGATACCTCTCTCTTGTGCGCATGTCCACTTTACGAATTAAAAGTTGATGATTGAGGAGCTAGGTCTGAATCAAGTTAGGCAGTACCTTACATTTCCTATTCATGTCTGGACTTCAGTTGAAGCTCAAACCAGCCCATTTGAGTTGCAATTTGTTGCTCATTTTACTGTAGCTGATATTACAATCACATGAATTGCAGATTAATTAATGCTGCTACTAGTTCAGTGATGTTTTCAACATTGGAAGATGGAAAGATAGTGAAAGGCCTTTCCGGGATTCCAAATGAAGGTCCTGTCTTATTAGTTGGTTACCACATGCTGATGGGATTTGAACTTTATCCACTTGTTGAACAATTCTTGAGAGAGAAGAATATTATGGTTTACGGCATGGCTCATCCGGAGTTATTTTTAGGAAGGCTCGAGGATTCATCTAATGAATTTTCTATGACTGATTGGTTAAAAGTTATGGGAGCTGTACCTGTTACTGGTAAAAATCTTTTTAAATTGTTATCAAAAAAATCACACGTTCTTCTTTATCCTGGTGGTGCACGTGAGGCTCTCCATTACAAGGTGTGTCTGGTTCCTTGCATTCATTTGTAATAAAATCTTATTTCATTTTCCACGGGGCAATATAAAATAGGAGGTGCCACATCACTGGGGACAAAAACTAGAGATAATATTATTCTTTAAAATTTTTTGATTGCAGCTGCAAAATTTGTAATGATGTCTACTAAAAATATGAAAACACTGTAGGAAATATTAACTGTTTTTCTGGAATCTCATTTAACCTCATGTTCAAGGATCCTTGTAATAATATGGTTGTGTATGAGCTTAGGTATAGATAATTTAAATTCTCTTCACTTAAAGGTAAATGTCCTTCTTTATTAATAATATATGGGTTTTTAATATATATTGTTTCCTCACAGTTCTAGTGCTGCATTTGCCAGGGTGAACAATATAAACTATTTTGGCCTGATCAACAAGAATTTGTGAGAATGGCAGCACGATTTGGGGCCACAATTGTACCCTTTGGGGCTATAGGAGAAGATGACATAGCAGAAGTAAGCCCACACTCTTATCACTAACTAATTTTTAAATTTAAAGAAAAGAGTCTTTCTTTGATGCTGAAATATGGTTTTGATTGGTATTTAGGCTGGTGGTAGCTTTTATCCTCCATCTTTTCTGCTGCTTATCCTTATGTTTATATTTTTGAATTCCTTATTCAATACAAGGACAGCATTTCTGGATGATAATGTAACCAGTGTGTTAGAATTAAGATTCTAGAAATGGATACAAATGGGGCATTTTTTTATTAGAATTCAGGTACTGTATGGTGTAAGGTCAGTAATTGCATGATGTAATTTAGACTTCTGCAAAGTTGAAAGAGTAATTTAGTGCCTCCACTTCAAAAGTGACCCCTAAGAGTAAAATCTGAAGAAGGTCGTTGAGTACAAAGATGAATCTGTAGAAACCCTTCCTGTAAAGTGAAGAAAATAGATATGTAACTGAATAGTTTTAAGAAAACCAATTGAGAGGCATAAGTCTTTAAATTTCAAAATAAGTTAGTTGTTTGAGCAAATTTTATTTTAAAAAGTTTTCTTTTAGGAATAGTATCATAATGAACTAAAAGCTGTTTTAGATTAGAATGAGTCTATGAAGTTGGTTTCTTTGTAGATCTGAATGATTTTAGAATCTTTAAGATTTTTCAAACCTTAATCCTCTGCCTCTCTCCCCTGCTTTTTCTTATGAACCATAGAAGTAATTCATATGTATATAATTATATTAATATTTTGATTTTGTGTTCCAAATTAACATTTTACTTGCATATAATCTGTGGCAGTTGGTTCTCGATTACAATGACTTAATGAAAATCCCTGTGCTTAATGACTATATCAGGGACTCAATTAGCAAGTCTGTGAAAATAAGGTATCAGCTACTTTTAGCTATATTTATTTCATTACACTCTATTGTACCATAAAATTTGTATTACTCAAGAACAGCTAACACTTTTAAAAAAAAATTAAAAAGCCTACTGTCTTTTTTTTTTGGTGATTAGTAAGAATTCTGGTTAATTAAGACATGGCAGAAATTTTAAAACAAGACTTCAAAGATCTGTAACAGCAGAAAAAGTACATTACAAGCATATGATTACTTCTACTGATGAAGAATGTGCTATCTGGTTGTAGGGATGAAACTAGTGGAGAGGTTGCCAACCAAGCGCTTTTTCTTCCAGGTCTATTGCCGAAGATTCCTGGCCGCTTCTATTATCTGTTTGGTAAACCTATTCACACAAAGGGAAAAGAAGTGTTTTTGAGGGACAAAGAAAACGCAAACGAATTGTACTTGCACGTAAAATCTGAAGTTGAACGTAATATTGCCTACTTGTTGAAGAAGCGAGAAGAGGATCCTTATAGAAGCATTATTGATAGAGCTGCATATAATTTGATATATGGTCGTGATGTTCCAACATTTAAGCTTTGAAGAATTGATTGGACAGGTATATTGTTCAGGGTCCTAATGTTACAAAAATTATTCTTTTTCGGAATATTAGACATTTATAATATCATGTATATGCAAGAAAGCCTTTTTGCTGCTGTAAGTTATATTCATTCTATTTTTGCATTCAAGGTCTAATATGTACCATCCTGTAAAGATAATCTTTTTTCTTCTATCAATTATACATTTCATGGGGGCAATATCATTGTTTCAAAACCTGGACCGGAGGGCAACCCGCTTTGCTCTCCGGTTCACGGGTTAACCGGTCCAACCGGTTGGGTTGGTGACATCATCAAATCGGCATGATGATATCAGCACATAAAAAACTTTTTTTTTTTTTTTTTTAAGGATTTTCAGTTTTTTTAATAACACAATAACAATTTAATTACTACCCAACATGATTCAAAGATCACATTCAATAACAATCTTAACATAATTTAAGTATTTAACAACAATCTAAACTCCAAATCTAAAACATAATATTGTGTTCATCCATTACATATTAAATTTAAATGACAAAATACATAATAATTAATAATAAAACATTTGGTGTAAGTGTTTTTTTCTTTGATCTGTCTTCATCTAGATTGAGCTTCACACACTAGCATTAAAATTATTCATCATCATCATCACCATTCCTAAGAAGATCACCAGCACTGAGATGGGTGTACCCAAAGTGCTCGACAATATTTGCACATTGGGTTCCTTTGCCACTGCCTGGTCCACCTGGTTAATCAATGAGAAAGGAAATACCAGCTCAGGGAAGTCTCTGAAGATATAGAGAATAAGAAATAAAGAAGAAAATCCAAACTCACAAGCTAGAAAATTTTTATGTGAAAAAGAATATATCAGAAGCAAATAGTACACGCCCCGAACATTATAAACAACAAAAAATATTAACGTTCTCTATACAATGTTTGCTCTGCATCAAATAGTTTACAAATATTTCAGACAGAAATAATATACAAAGTGGGTTGAGGCCTTGTATCTGTAGTGGAAAGTGATTGCAATTTGTCAAAGAACTTGTGGAATGAAATCATTTCAAATACTCTAGTAACAGTTAGTACAAGATGCTTACCCAAACAAAAACAACAGTGGGCTTCTTCTCGGCTAAACTTCCATATGCTTCCTGCAATCGGATGTTTGTCAGATGACAACATCAAGGCAGGGCATAAATGAATGATAAAGGGTTATAATTTGTAACAGTAGGCATCCACCCAACTTGCCAGACTTTTCAAACAGAAAAGATTCAGATGTCAACTTGTCTACTCACTTTATAACTTGATCCAGTAACAATCCCGTAGCTTGGGCTACTAAACGATAGATTAAAGAATTCCATATCATTGTTTGGACCTTTTTAATTTCTTTTTGAAAAAATTCCCTCAGAAACATATTTAATTAAAAATGGGATTTTTTACTTAATAAAAATTTTCTCTGAAAAAAATTGGATCATCACAGTAGAGATCAGAAACGATGGCATGGAATTAAGGTTAAGGAAATGGAAATCGGTACCCTCTTTGGATCCTCAACAACGGTACCCATGAGAGCCAGCTAACTTGTATCTGAAATATATGATCTGCATAAGTAATCCAATAAAATATCAGGGCATTTGCATTAAAGAAGGAAATCAATTATCGAGAGCATAACAAATAATATAAAGTTATCATGGAATTCTACATCCGCACAATGCATAAAGAAGCATCAACATCTGTAAAGGTGAAATAAAATAATGGTAGTAGATTTAAAAGAGGAGAAGTTGATTAGATCTCTCAATAAGATGAATGGAGCGAGGAATGGAGCTGGAGCGAGGAATGGAGCTGTCGTCAACGAATGGAGCTGTTGCCATCGATTTCCAGCAAGGAACTGAACTGTCGTCGTCGATTTTCGGCGAGGGAGGAAGATGTCGTCGTCGATTTCAGACTTTAGGGAGTGGAGTTGATTGTGATTTGAGTGAGATTTCAGAGAGAAATTTTCGTAGAGAGCTGAGAAGAAGCTGAGAAATTTTCGCAGAGAAACTGAGAGAGAAGAAGCTGAGAAACAGAGAAAGGGCTGCGATTGCGTATTAGGGATTTAGGGGTTTTTAAAATTTCGATCGATTTATCTGCCGGTCCAACCTGAATTTATCCAGTTTTAAACGACTTAAAGCGGCTTATTGCATTATGGCAGTTTTGGTGTTGACTCGAATCGGACACGTGACCGGTTTTTGATCCAATCGGTTGGACCGGTAGGTCCAGTCCGGTTTTTAAAACAGTGGGCAATATATACAAATTTGATATCGGGGGTGGAACCTTGAAGGAAGGTTCGTCTGCTTAACCCTTAATCACTTGAAGAGTCCTTCTTCACCTTAATTGTGGGGTGCAATTCTCTTCACAAACATTATATGTATGTGTATATGTAATGCAATAAATAGTTGGATGTATGAGTTCTCTATTTGTCAGATTTGTGTTATAGATTGGTAGTACTATGACTTAAAGGAAAACATACAGTCAGGCCAATGAGAAGGCCAGCCTAGCTTTCAGTTTAATGCACCACAAATTAATGCCGGGTCTCTCCTAGACATGAAATGGACATTATACATGGAAAACAGAGAAAAGAAATTATCACGTGTCAATATAGTAGTAGTTGCCATGGTATTCTGGGAACATGAGTATCAGTTTATCAATTGGTAGTCTCTTGATCTCTTCACACTATGTAAGCATTTCCATTTTTGCCTCCAAAAAGGGATAGAAACTGATTGGCTAGCAAGGCAGGCAGTAGCCTATACGATTCTGGACAAGTTTTTGATGACTGGAAACTGTTAAAGGTACTATTATGGATTCCTTTTTTGTTGCATAAGTGTCATACCTCTTATTCACATGAAACTGCAATTGTCTCTTAGATCAGGTTGGGGAAGAGAATACTCAGGGAAGATACAGATACACTTGGTATTTTTATATTGCATTACTTTAGCTTTCTGAGGTGCTTCAGCTTTTCTTTTTGTACTGACCAATCTGAAACCTGACTTGACAAAGCAACTTGCATACTTTTTCTCTATTCTATTCACCTGTAGAAATAAAAAATTGTGGGAACGAAGAAGACAATTTCAGTGGAGGCAATTCATTAGTTTGGTAATGGAGGTCACAGTTCATGAAGAATTTGGTTCTTCAGACTTTTATTTAATGCTAAGAGTATCAATGTTGGGGAAAAGGGATGGAATATGATCCCATATGAATCTCTTAGGGAGGTAGAAATTTTTAGCCAAGTGATGGCATTAACAATGACATGGGTGGAGAAGAATAGCCAGCTTGTTTCTTGATTCCACTTGTTTTGTGGACACAACTAGATACTGCCGAAGTTCTGGCATCAACTTTTTTTTTTTTTTGGGTAATCGGGATTCATTGAACATCTTACAAGTCCAAAAGATTAGGTAAGTCATGATATTATTGTGATAGGCGACCCTAAAGTTTGAACCTAAAAACTTAAAGAAGAGAGCAAACCTATTTGACCGCCAGACTAGTTTTTTTTCCCATTGGAGTGCTATTATGTGATTAAGTTACAACAAAATTCCAATTGGTCAAAAAATGTATTGAAAGATCCTGTAGCAAATGAATCATTATCATAACTGTGCGGTCAAGATCTATTTTATTTCTTATTTATCTTTATTATTTGTCAACCGCAAACTGGAAGTATGCTCAACTTTATTATATCCTGATTGATAGTTTACTGTAACTTCTTCCTTTTGTCATGTATGAGTTGTATTTAATTTATGAATCACATTAGCTTTAAATTTACTATACTTTTCAAGGTGACCATGGTTCACACATGAAATCTCTTACATCATGGAACAATATCTGTTGTAAAGATTTGGATTAATTCTTACAAGAACATAATCAGTTTGTGTGTTCATAACAGATAGTGGCTGTCACAATCCATGGAAGAACCAGAATATGATTCATTAAGCTAATATTTCCAGAACATAAAGGCTATCTCAAAGAGCGTGGCCAAAAGTTAAGATATGACTTGGACACGCAATTTATGCCTTTGAATCTTATATAGTATCATGGAAGCGAAAGTGGACTTAGTATTTCTATATAAAGGAGAAGTGTAACAACCGTGAGATGTGAGAAAAAGAAGTCTAGAGTTCTTTACACAGAGAACAAGTTTCCTACTCTAGGCTAAGCAATGTCTGGCTATGGTTACAATTACAGAGGGAACTCCGGGTACAACGGTTTAGGGCCTCAGACTGATACATGGAGCAAGCCAAACAGCTATGCCTCAGATCATGTCTGTAAGCCAGTCATTGTTGATGCTGAGGGGAGGAAACATCCAGTCGTTTACAATCCCGACTATAACACAAGTTACTGTATTACAAAAACTGAAACAGTTGTGCAGCAGGTTCATTCACCTTTCAGCAGTGACCACAAACATAGCTCTCCAACGAAATTTGAGTATGAACCAGTGAAAGAGTACGGTTATGGTGAGAATCAATGGCATAAGCCTACAACTGACTACGGATATGGTGAGAATAAGTGGCATAAGCCTTCAACTGGTTATGGATATGGTGATGATAAATGGCATAAGCCTTCAAGTCCGGTTCATGATCGCCCGCAAAAGGTGGAGGAATTCCTCACCGAGGTGCAAACTGAAGCTAGTCGACCAAGGTTTGGCCCCTTGAGTGGTTCACATTGGCGCCAGACTCCTACCACTGGTAATCATGGTAATACTGGTTATGGTGATTATCAGAATGAGAACTATGATGACTATCACAGGAAAAATGGTATTGGGACAGAACCAACTATGATCACCAGTGGTGGATGGGCAAGGCCAAGCCGTACAGGATGGGCTTCTCCACCAGATACTTCACTCTCCAAACCGGCAAATGACATCGGTGCAGCCATGGAGTATTTGACAGTAGTTGCCAAACCTACCACATTCACCACTTCTCCGGATTCCACCACCTCTCAGTATTCCAGGGTCTCTGTGCCTATCTCATCATCGCCCACCCGCCCACTGTTTTAAAACCCGACCCAGGGGACCTGCCCCACGCTCATCTCTACTCATCAGGGCCAAAGAGAGATGACTTCACTGAAACCATTGACAGCCGGGAGGCTTCAAGGCGGTATGGCAACCTCAATTCACCATCTTATCCCGTAGAATCATACACAAACACCATTGATAGCAGGGAGGCTGCAAGGAGGTACAAAGGCACAGCTCTGTGAAAGTAATATTAATACACTAGTATATTATTGTGTCATGGGTTTGTAAGTCTATCAGAGTCTGTTTTCTTCCTTTTTTTTCTTTTTTACCAAATTCGAAATCTATCTGTCGTAGCAGCTAAGTTGTGGTAAAGGCTTGTTTCTGATCTCAGTTGTAAAATAAGCTTTCTTATGAAGCAGTTGCAATAAATTAATGGAATATTTTTCCTTTCGTGAATTCTGTCCATATGATTGCTTTCTTCTATGTTTTGAGCTTTAAGTTTGTTTTCTGTCTTCAGGTTATGGTAATTACTTTCTCTGGAAACCCATCAAAGATTATATTGAATAAAATTTTCTAGTTTCAATAAACCAAAATTTGACATAACTTCCTAGTGAGAGTATTTCAGAATCGTAAAGCTGTTCTTCTCTAACCTAAATCAAATTCATTTTGGCCTTATTAGATTAGAGTTCTGTCAGAAACTTTCAATCAGATCGTTTTCCAGTTTCTTCATGTACTGCCTCATAAAATTCAGACACTTTAATTATTCCTATGTCTGGTTTACACACCTACATTAAACACTCCTGCTTTCAGTTACCATTCTAAAAAGTAGAAGCACATATGACGTAAGTGTTATTAATAACGTATTTAAAACACCAACATCAATGAAACTAAAATTCAAAAGAAATACTATTCAACTTATAACCTACATTATCTCCCTATATACATAGGTTTAGTGATCTCTTTCAATTGGATACTCCCTCTCACTCCAGCACCTAACACTTAGCTACCTTAAGAACTCATGCTTCCAACATCAACCTCATTCAAATAGGGCTCATTGAATCACCACTTTTCCTGGAAATCTGGTTTCATCATCAACCTCATCCGAAAAGAAAAGACGCATTTGAATGACCACTTTTTCCTAGAAATCTTATATTAGAAAAAATACATTCTAAACTTCCTGAACTTACTAAAGTCCAAGCTCTTTGACATCTCAGCGCCATGACAGATGCTCTTCCTAAGAATTCTTAATTTTTTCTTTTCTTTTATGATAATATGAAATTCAGAAGAGGAGAAAATGTGAAGTACATGGATTGATGTGAAAGGTATTTAAGTCTTATGCGAACCAAATGATATTGAAGAATGAAGCCTTCTACTAAAACTTGACACAATTCTTTTTCTGACTTAACTGGGTTTAAAATATTGGTACAAAGAACATCATCTTCCACAAGCAAAAGATTGGTCAACCATCTTACTGAAACTAGACCGTCAACATCCACTCAATTGCCTCCTTCAGAAACTAAGCTCAAGGAAAGTCTTTTCTTGATATGGCTGCTTTCCTTGTTGAGATCTTGAGAATTTTGACACGGAAAATTTTTATCTTGATGTTTTCTCGTATGCTCCCATAAAAATACAAGTTCTTGCACTGTCCTTACCTTCATAAACGAGAAAATTGGGCTTCAAAAAGGCCCTTCCATATTACAATTTCTTATCAGGCAACCTGGGTCATTGATTCTCATTTACATGTTTATACAAATACTGCAATTCCAAGGGGAACTTTATCTTACTATCCATAACATATTGTTCTCAAGGAGTTAAACTTATCCTGAATCATGTAAGAACTTCGAAAAATTTTCATGACAAGTTCTGCATGATTATATTCCCAGTAGGGGACGAGGATCAAGCATATACTAAAAGAAAATGGAGTTCTTCCGATGCAAATAATGTCACAAAATTGATGAATTACGTCACATTAAAACTATAACGATTCTGGGAGCTGAGTTGATAAAATTCCAGCGACGCTTCTTGGCGTCGGAGTATCTGGCCTTTACTGACAATATTGTGTTGCGTCCGAGAAGACATCATTGGAAAACAGCAATTTTCTTTCGGTGATACTAGGGGCATTTCAGCAACTTGATTATCTATTTTTTCTTATGTTCAAGCTGGAGGAATTCCTTCGGTTGTAGACTATTGTACTTACAGGTGAACTTGAATTTCCATGCGTTCCTGAGAAACTATATATCCCTAAGCAATTACTAGTTAACTAAATATCTTCGAGAGTCTGCATTAAATGCTAATTCATTGTGATTGTTCCTTTGCTGGTGAAAAAGATACTTCAGAAAATAAAATTGAAAGATTAATTCCTTTACCAAGTGAATTGAACCTAAGCGGAATGGGTTGCTAAGTTGATTTTAGTTTTCATTCTTTATCATTGCAAAACAACCAACCATGGAATAAAATAAAGAACACCAGGGGTTTTTACATGGTTCGGCAACATGCTTATATTCATGAGACCAAGTCCAGATGTAGCCAATCTACTATGGTAAACATTCATAGTTTAATTACAAAGCCAAAGTTAAACATCAGTTGCAAGAACACTCCCTATTTTACAACGCTTCAAACTTCACCTTTTGGTTGAACTTTGAACTACCACAGCAAGGTCCACATTCACAAGATTACTTGGTTAGCCTTGAGCTCCTCTCAAGGTATAGCAATGAAGATGCACTTCAGCTCCAAAAGCTTAAAATCCCATCAAGCAACAACAATGGAAACCTACGTTCCAGCCATGAACAAATAAAACAAAGTTTGTCAAAGGTATTTATAAGCCTACCTAAGACATATGAAACCTAATTTAAACAAAAGAAACCTTAAGGAATTTTTAGAGTAATATAAGAGGAATAATCAGGTTTAAGAAAAATTGCATTGGAGGAGTCAAAAATATAGAAAACTTGGGCTTTAATGCAAGGACATGTGGCAAGGAATAACTTTATTGAATTCACCTTTATAAAAGTTTATTCTAATATCAAGACGCCACCTATCAAAGAGAATAAAACTTTCTAGTACATTGAATATAAAATTGACAAGTGTTATGGACCACACAAATATCTCTTAAGAGAATAAAACAGCTCATGCATTCTAGAAGCATAACACGTGTTATCCAAATAAATCTACCAGATACATTGTGATTACTTTGACTCAGAGGTGCTCACCCGATATAGCAGATAAACAACATAATAAAAGGTGATCACTTTTAACACAAGGTCGTTACACTAGAAATTTAAATAAGAATGATTGTGCAATATTTAAAGTGATGTGTTCATACCATAACTAGTGTTACATCATTAGAATCATAAGTTGACAAAATAACTTACAAAAATAATAAATAAAAACTAAGCTGGTTAGGTGCTGAAATGTAAAATATAGTGTACACGGGCTAATGTGAAAGCCAGATGTTAAGTGAAGCAATTTAGTCGAATTTTGCTGCAACTTGGCGCAGTTCCTGGAATGACCAACTGTGATTGAAACAATAGTCCAGAAAGAAATTAAACAAAAAGCTACTTTCTTAATCCTGATTTCCTCAACTCGTATTTTCCAATGAAAAACAAAATAATAACTTAATTTCGCAATGGCAAAAGAGAGTTAAATAATCACATCTTACTAATATTGCACAAAAAAATCCACTAAATATAATCTGCATATTTTTAGGAACTTTTTAAAATAAACAATCTCTCCATTAAAATTTTGACATACATTTCTTCTTTAAGAGTGTAGTGCAAAAAGTGAACATGGAACCATATGTTATGCAACAGAAACATAGACTCTAAGAGTCTGCTTGGGAATTTTTTTTTTCATTGGTTTTAAAGGGTTTTTAATTAGACTAGTTTTGAGGTATTTTAAAACCATTACTTGCCAGATTTTTTATGCACTGGTTTTGATTAGCTCAAAAACCCCTCAGAACTAGTGTAGTGTATTTTTGAGGGGTTTATAAAACATACCCCAAATCGGGGTGTTTTGGTTGGCTTTAAAATTTTATTCCACAAATAACCTATCCACTACAAAACTATCCCAATTATATCCAAATTTTTATTTAACCATATTATGTGCGTCTCCAACCATATTAAATATAAAATAATCTTAAATAATCATTAAAAAAATAAAAAATAAAAAAAAAATAAAAATCTCATTTCTAGATGCTTTATTGGGGAAGTGGAGCTACAATTTTTCAATCATTCTAGATGCTGCAAAGAATGGTGAAGAAGGTAAGAAGACTTTATCATATTTGAAATTATAAAATATTAATACGTAGAAAACAAATAAAAGACCCTTACCTTGTAATTGAAAAAACAACACTCTCAAGTACTGGTTGAAGTTGGGTATTTTTATGCGCATACATGTAAATTTATCATTTTAAAAAACTGTCAGAACCGCTAGAAAATAAACTCCCAAGCACAAGTTGGGTGTTTTAAAATCCGCTACTAAAAACCCCTCAAAACCGTTACGCGGTAGTTTACCCTCAAAACTGCTATGGTGGTTTACCCTCATAACCACTACCATGAAGCTCCCAAGTGGACATAGCTATTGAAATATAATAATAACAACCACTAAAACAGAAATAAATAACCAAAATAAAGAATAC